CCCCAAAACCCCAAAACCCCTTAGATTGAATAAACCACTAAGAGATACTGAAAAAAATAAATTATGAAAATAATTAGATATTGTAATATTGAACTTTAGTTTTATGATTCCCAAAGGTATTTAGAAATAAAAACTGAAACTTTTTCTTATTTATCCCAGTAGATTAAGTTAATTAGTCAATTTATAGAATTGAGATGCCTCTTAATGAGCCATTTTATAGTAAGGACCCATTTTTTGCAGGTAACTTCATCAGAACAGCCGATCTCAAATACCTCATAATAATCAGTTTTCTACGAGTTGAAACCTTTTGCTTTTTATTGTAACTATCTTATGCTATGGGACATTCTAAATTGAGTTAGATTTGATTCCTCATCATCAAACATGTTAGATTTCTAATCATCATCATTGTTTAGAATAATTGTATCAAAATAGTCTGAATTTTCGTTTAGGTTTGGCTCTTTTGAAATTCCTTCCATTATGCAATCTTTAAATGGGTCAGCTGTTTCATTAACAATTCTATCAGATATTGCATTTTTCTTAATTATATGAACTTTATTATAATCTTTAAGTGGAATATCTAGAACTATTTTGAAGAAGAAGTGTTATTGAGTTTTATCGTTTTAGTTTTAACTTGCACTTTTCGTTTTATATTACTTAAATAGAGTTTCAAATTTCTTTTACACTGACTTAGAAATTTTATTCGTATTTGAAGGTATCATCTCGATTGACTTTATATTATCGATTGGGATTGTGAATAGTGGACTTTGGTACTCTAATCTTGGATAATTATGACATTATATCTAGTTATAGAAAAGTATAAGAGATCTCTAGATTAATACCTTATTATTTTAAGGTTATCTAAATATTTTTGATTCAAATATGCCTACTTCAAGGTTTTATTCTTGAATTGAACTTTATTTTTCGATTTGATATTATAGGTAGATATTTTCAAGGAATGCAAAAAATTCAGACTCCTTGCTAATTTTGAAAGATTTAATAGATATTGACAGAGCTGATTCTGCGTCATTAGATCTCATGCTTTATTTTGATTAACTTTTATCTGCAGAATGTAAACTCTTATTTGTACTAAATTTATCTAATTACTTCTTTTTCGTAAAAGTTTTATTGCTATTGTTCATTATTGTTACCTATTTAGGTTATAAACTTTGGATTTATACTGATTTACGTTTTTCGCTGGTTCTGTAGAACTAATCACTCTTTTTAAATGGTAGTTGTGAAATTCTTGACTCAGGTTAAGTTGGTAAAATTGTGTTTTCTGTGGCAACTTCTGGAAGTGTGGTCAGTACATGAGATTTATTTATGAAGAAGTGCTTATCAATTTCTTAAATTAAAACTTGAATTTCATGCTGATAATCATCCTTCTCATTGAAATCCTCATAGTCCTCCATTTGACTGATTAATATTTGCAATTCTTATAAAATCCTACTTGGCATTTCACCAGTATATTTTTCCTTATCACTTGTAGGTGTAAATTATTAGTCCATGAGTAACCTTGATTTGAGTCCATACATAATTGATTGAGTATCATGATCATCCCAAATGCTGTTTCTAACCGTATTATCCTTGAATAAATCATCGTCTCGGTGTTCATGCTCAATATGATCGTCATCAAATCCTTCCTTTAATTCTTTTCTATTTACACTGGATGGAGTTGTCTTTTGAGCTATGCTTCCATTGCCATCAATATGAAGATCCTATAAACTTTCCCTCAATTTATCTCTTAAATCTTCGAAATACTTATGATAGCCTAATCTTAGTTTCTTTCGGTCATTTCTGAGATTTTTATAGCATTCGTAACTACTATCATCATGATTATTTTAGTCTTATTAAGGAGAAAATTATTTTTCTTCTCCTTTATTTTTATCAGTCTGATTTTCTAGTTTCACCCTGTGATCAAACTTCTTTTTAGCCTAGTATGATTTTACATCTCTAAAAGAGGGTTCAGGTGGATATTAGAAGCATTGCTCCTTTTGATTTCTTGAACAAAAAGATCCCATTACAAGCTTAGATTAAATAAATATTTGTTTCGCAATTTTAAACTTATTATTCTCTTGAATATTTATATTATACTCTTAATAAGTCGATCAGTCAACTTGAGGGGTTTTGGGGTTTTGGGGAGATCGGAAGAGCGTCGTGTAGGG